ATAAAAAAGACAATTTTACCTGGCCGAATGGATTGAACAACTGCCTTAGTTCTTTCTCTGTTGCCTCAAATGCAACATTTCTCACAAGCAATTTGGTTGAGCTCTTGTCCTTCTCAACTTTGCTTAATGCTTGTCCTTGTCTGTCCTTAGCATGACAGAGTTGCAAAATCAGGGCATGTCCGTCTAAAATAGTGCCCTAAAACAAGAAAGAACATATCACCAATTAAGTACATGTAGCAAATATGCTTAGATAACCATTGAACTTGAACAACAAATTTTTTTTTTAAGAAAACTGCAGGGAGGATATATAACCTGTAAATCCCTGCACACATTTATTGCGGTATCCACAGAATCAAACTCAATAAATCCAAAACCCATTGAAACAATCTTCCCATTCTTTGTATGCTTTTTCACCTACCAAACATTTGAGAGTGGATAAATCAAATACTTCAAAAAAATTCAAAAAACCCCCAACAAAATTTCCAGTTGGATAGTAAAATAGCTAGCAAACAGAGGTCATGTAGATGTACCCTGGCACTTATTATTTTTCCGTCTTTCATGCTTCCATTGAAATGCTGTTTTAAGCTCTCATCAGATGTTTTGAAGTTCAAGTTCTTCACATAGAGTGACCTTGACTGTAGTGCAGGAATACATATGGAAAAGATGAGCAATTTAAAGAACTGAGAGCTTGTTTGGTACGAGGAAACGGATAACAAGGGAATTTAATTTATATTCCACGGAAAAGAATAAAGTAAGATTTCAAATTCTATTATATTTGAAAAGGAAAAAAGATCCAAAAACGGGAGGTATATTGCTAAGATACAAGAATGACAATGAGGCCAGTGTTACAATATCTATATTAAAAAACTAGACTCGGCATATGCTCTTGAAAAGAAACGTGCAGTTCAAGATTTATGAAGATACCTCCACTCTGTCAGGATCAACATCAGCATCAGTTGTACTTTCTAATTGGTGCTCTAGTAAAACTTTTTTGACATCTTCTTCGCCGCCCTCACCAACAATCATAGTATTATCTGAATCACCTGTTTGATCAAGGATATTGCCAGGAGCCCATTCCAAATACAAAGGAGCATCCCTGTATTGAAGAAATTGTACGGCCAAAATTTATGGTTTTTGTCCATCAAATCATTTATAAATAAATACTCCGTGTTTGTGAATGAAAGTTGACTTTTAAATAGTTCCAAATTTATTTAAAAACTGAAAGTAAACTTCTAAATTTGCAGGGGCAAGAAAAGTTCTTGAGACTTGACTCATTTTTTAGTTTATTATTTGTTAGGAGGAGGAGGAGGAGTCTGATACTCCGGTCAGGAGGCGCGAGAGGTTAGAGGTAGAGAGTTAGAGGAGGGGTAGGGCTAAACCCAGGAAGAGTTGGAGTAAGTAGACAGGACTTAAAACTTTGAGCATCTCACCAAGAACAAGACCTTAGATAGGAAAGCTCCGAGGCCAAGGATTATGTTGTAGAGTAGGGCCAGATATGAGTTCTCGGTGTATGTAGAGCTTTCAAGATTAGTTAGATGTAGTTTAGGTGTTTGCTTGGGTTTTGTCATTTTCTCCTTGTGATTTTCCTAACATTTGAATTACACTAACATTTGTTTGTGTGCATGAGATGGGGATCTTTTGATAACAACTTCTCAAACTTTTTTAGGAATGGATGCAAGCTTGATAAAGACCACTCTTCAACCATCTTTCTTTAGGTTCGATGAAAAGAAAGGATGGACTCGATGAGTTGAACATAGTTACACTCATTTGAAACAAATCCGCCACCAAAAAAAGCATTTGTTCCGATTCTCTCATTTTGCTTTTGTATTAATCAATCCAAAAAGCTACCCAAATTTCCAAAATCAAATGTTGGCTAGTTTTGGAACACCATTTGTTAATAGCATTAGCGTTTTGGATAATTTTTAATGGCAGAGAAATGTTGATTAACTTTTAAAATGCTAATGCTAAAAGTTATCATTGGATGTCATTTTCAAAATGCTAAAGCTAATGCCCAATGGACCCATTATGCCTAAACAAAAGTAGAATGCTACAATGGGACGTACTTTTGTTTCACAATTTTGGAGCTCTAATGTACAACCTCTACAATCTTACAAACCAAATTGGATATAGCGCGATTGAATCTTATACTACATGTCTACATGGCCATGAAAACATGAAAATTTAGACCAGATGGAGTATAAGAGAAAAGATTGAACTTATAAACTCACTTGTAGCGTTTGTATGCTAACCCCCGGAAAGCTGTGCGTGCCTCAGCTGGTTCAAGGAAGACCACCTGTAAAATTATGAGAAAATTTATAAGAAAATAAATTATACATGGAGGGCTACTTTGTAAAACCTTAGACTGAATGCCTTAGAAAAAATCACCTAGAGCAAAAACTAAAATACTAATAGAAAGAGAAGCTGTCATATTCAAAATGTAACAAAAATCTAGAAATGAAGAGAAAGAAGACATACCAAAGCCAAAGTCTTAGTTGGAGGAAGAACAACTTTATCTATGCCTCCAAATTTCCCAAACATATTTGCAAGTTCACTGTCAGATGAGCTGTAAGGCAAGTTCTTTACTAGTATAACATGATTGCTTCTTTTGATATTGTCAGATTTCCCAGCAGCAAATTCTTCCAGAGAAGAAACATTTATTCCAGCTTTCACTAAACTTTGTTTTGTATCAGCAATAACTTTTGTTTCTCCTAAGGCTATACGTACGGCAAGATCGGAAGCTTCTTTATCTAGAAGATCAGATTTACTAACACCTAGTCTCCTTGCAATATTTTCCACAACCTTTGAACAAATGCAAAAAGGGGAGGTATGCGATCAGAGGAAATTCAAAATAAAACTCAGCTATTGTAAAATCTGGTATAAATACTATGGAGTGGATTTACTAATATGGAGTAATAAAATTGAATAACATATCAGGTTGTCAAGTCCAACACCCACTGGTAAGGTTGAAGCATTGTCCCATTCATAGATAATTATTATAACGATTTATAGATATCCTACGGCTAAGATCCTAAAGTTTTACTTAAATAATGTTATTACATGCATATTTTACTAAAAGCAAAATTTATATAAACACAAGGAATAAACAATATCCTAATTCAATCATGCTTTAGACTCCAATATGTTTCAGACTTCAATACATCAACATCCACACTTACGGCACACATTGTCAACACACCAACAACTCGGTTGGGGGTTTGGGGGTCAACCTAAGCAAAAATCTACAGTGTACACACAACACATATATCTCAAGTGAAGTGTGTGTGTTTATGTTTGGTCATTAACAAAAATGCTCTCTCGCCATTTCTTTTAATTTATAATCACACTCTGGCTCAAATCCAGATAAAAACCACTCTTAATCGCCTCCTCCTAAATTTACTTCCATTATGGCCTCGAGCAAAACGTGTCTGTTTTGCAGCCTCCCCATTATTGGTTTGGCAGGACGTACTATTTGGACGTGGAAACTCTCTGATTTTATTGAAGTGATGGACATTGGTGGGTTATGGAAATGGGGTGAATGGTTCAGATACCATTTCGGCCTAATTTTTTGTGAGAATTCTTGTATATATTCATGGATGGTGCCAGTTTGTCAAATGCTGTGTTCTCCAACCAAACCGAAATAACAGGTGCATGACTGACGATAGAAGGTATGAAATTAGAATTGACATCAAATAAAGTAAACCATAATACTTCAAGAACTAAGTCTCTAATACAACTCATGAACAATAACAATTATTTTCCCCTTCCTAAGAGATAAACTCCCTAAACTATTAACTATTTATAAAAAAGCACTGCCAACTATATTCCAACTAAATTCCTAAAAAAAGAAAAATGGAAGTTAAGGGTCCACATAATCTGCATGATGGAAGTAACTCTCATGTGATCAGTACAGGGCTCCTATTTTCTATGAGATGTATCATTATTATCCTAGTCTTATTAAGTGACATAATGACATCTACTAGTTCCTACTTTGTCAAAGGTAGGGCCTCTTGAATGTGAGTAATGCCAATCAGGAAAGCATGCAAAGGCTTCGTAATCCAACAAGTCAACAGCCATGTTATCAGTTCAGCTTTTTAATATCAAATTGTTTTCCAGCTTCAACCACTTTAGAAATTAAAACAAGAGTTGAATATTATAGCAGCATCTACAGATCAAATTTTTAGACTGCAGGATAGAATCAATCCAAAGCAGATATTTTTCATGAAAATTGAAGAGATAATAATTAACAGGCAGCATACTGTATCTTGGCGCATGAATAGAGTGTTCCATGCTTGTGTATTTCCACTCGCTTCAGATGCCTTCCTATCTTCCAGTCTTTGATCTTTGAGTGTTTGTGACGATTGTTTACCAGACCCATTGACCCTGCAGAATAATTCATTAAAAAACATAACGCATAGAGCAAGCATCTTTCTGGATAAAGATATTGAAACAGTGTTGCGATGTTCTTGTCCATTCATGCAATAAAAACTGAACTACTGAAGTAATATGTAACACAAGTAGAACAGATAAACCTATATCAGTGCACATACTCTTGGTTCTTAGAAGAAATTTTTTGCTTCGCTGGCATAACATGCAATAATCTTCCTTGAAATATTGAACCGTCCAGCTCTTCTAATGCCCTGATATGATCCACAAGAGAATTTTAATACCTTAAACTAGAGGCATGTGCATATGTATGGTATAATACTTCTTCTGTACCATTCAATATTACAACACTTCTCTATACAACTTTAAATCATTTAGCCATTAAAAAAATTACCATAAATATGTAGCGTAAAACTGCGGTGCAGCCAGTAAGAGTAAATTTAGACCATTTTATTGTGGCATAAGATATGGATTGAAAAAATAATTACCTAGCTGCATCTTCTGGGAGAGAGTAAAGAATATATGCAAACCCCTTTGACCGCCTCGCTTCTTTATCTACAACAATATGAACTTCTGAGACACTACCATATTTGCTGAAATGCTCTCCCAGTTCATCTTCCCTGAAATACCGAAGGCATTAAGAGAAAAGAGGATTAACCAGTATTAACCACAACATGCACTTCATACCAAATACCTCACAAAAGTGCAAATTTAGAAGTGAGAATAACATATGTTTTTACAGTGAATAGCATATTCTAAATAACGCAAATCCATACGTAGTAGAATAAGGCAAGTTGCGGATAAACAGGCGTCCACTCTCAAGAATAGCTTCTTCATCTTTGTTAAGTGAAGGATCACCTGATTCAAGCATTTCACCGCTAGACTCTACAGACTGTCTATCAGTGCCCTCCTTTTTGTTATCATCAAACTCATGGGCATCTATAACATTACTGCTCTTTCTAAATGAAGTTTCTTCTTCCTCATTGCAGTCTTCATCACCATCATCATCTTCATCTTCATCTTCATCTTCATTTTCATCTTCATCTTCATCTTCATTTTCTGAACCTGACCAGTCCTCCTTTACTCTTCTTTTGAAATAATCCATATCTGACACAACATCATCATAGACAAAACTCTTTTGTTTTTCAGCATTGTAATCATTCAATGGTTCTTTATATTTATCATCATTGTCACTATTCGTCATGGCTGCAGTTTCCTTCTGCATTTGACATTTCTTCTCAATTGGCTTTTTATTTTCCGTGAGAGAGGGAGCTACAGTTGAGTCATTTGCCCACATCTTAGATTTACTTCGAGGTTGCATAACCTCGACAAACTCTTGAAATTTAGGGTCATCATTTTCACTTTCCTCGATGCACAACTTATTGTCCCCTTCTAACCCTTTATTCTTTTTATTTTTTGAGGATGGTATTTCCTTGTCTACTTCACATGGCATCTCTTTCCTTTTCAATGAGTGTCTACTCCATGGGCGTGGGGCATTTAGATCACCAATTTTCCAAGCAATCTGCCATAGATATTAATGTGTAGTAAGGATTTGGGGAGCACAAACCAACCTACAAGATTATGATTAATATGCAAGAGAATTGTCCAGAAGCATAGAACATTAAAAAGTTTCTCAATGTTTTCTACACTCTCTGAAATGAGAGATGTGTCATGATGATGATGATGATAATAATAATAGAAGTAGTTGTAGTAATAATAATAGTACGAGGTTTGATATGACCCAAGGTTTGACGGTCAAAAGAACCGTTTTGATAATAGCAATGTCACAAAAGAATCAACATTTTAGAAAAGTTCATATTCCATACATATTAATAATCTTTATAGAATGACATTTTATCCTTATTTAAGTTCAATATGAAGCAATTCTTTCCTAAAATTTTTTACTACACGAAGTGTTAATATGGCACAGTTTCAATTTGCAAGATTAATATAAAAACAATATACAGCAAGGATCAAGTGGACTGCTAATCTATTAACATCTACACCCTCAGAGTTTCTCTCTCTAACCATGTGGAAGAGAGGGCGACCACCCAAAACGGACGGCAAGGCGACCGGAGATGATGTTTCAACGACGGAAAAGACACATAATGAGAGATTAAGTACTAGTTTCAAATTTAATCTCAAAATTTGAAACTAGTACTTAATCTCTCATGTACTAGTGGAGGAAAATCTGCTTAAAATAACCAATATGAGCAAGGGATTCTTCCCATTCAGATACCTTGGTGGCCCTATAACATCATCTAGAATAAGTGATAAAGAATGTGACAGACTAGTGGAGTGCATGACCCAGAAAATCACTTCTTGGAATTCAAAGCACCATTCTTATGCTGGAAAGGTCAATCTGATTAACTCAGTTTTATTTGGGATCATAGGATTCTGGAGCAGATTATTCATAATACCTACAAAGGTTATGAAAATGATCCAATCTCTTTGCAGGAACTTCCTTTGGAGCTCTGCACATGAATATAAAAGGCACCCCTTAGTTGCTTGGGATGAGGTCTGCCTACCAAAGAATAATGGGGGATTGGGTATAAAGAATCTTGTATTGTGGAACAAAGGAAGTATTATGAGATTGGTCTAGGGCATTGCACAGAAGAAGGATAGCCTATGGATTAAATGGGTTCATGGCAAATATCTCAAAGACAATTCTATTTGGGATTGTATAATAAAAAATGATTCTTGCTATTACTGGAAGAAACTGATTCAAGTGAGAGATTGTTTTAGGGGGATGCAGAATGATTTACCCTACACTCCAAATCAAGGGTATAAGTGGCTTGTGGGACAAAAACAGATTCCAAGCTGGTATAGTGCTGTTTGGAATAAACTTTCTATACCCAAACATAAGTTTATACTATGGCTTGTGTGTAAGGATAGATTGCAAACTAAGAGAAGGCTTAGTAAATTCCTCTCCATTGATACGTGTTGTACACTCTGTAAAAAGGAGAGCAAGACTCCCAACACCTTTTCTGCAGATGTCATTATGCAAAGGCCATTTATATGAGGGTCTGTACCTGGTGCAATTATAAGCTTGAGGGGGGCACCATTGAGGATATCATTGAGAAGATGAAGAAACTCACACCAAGCAAAAAGAGATGGAAGATAATGGCAGTATATGCAGTGTGTGTATATGTTATTTAGAGCAATGTTTGAAATTGCGTATTGCGGTTTCGAGGCGTTTTCTTTTCATGGCGTATTGCGTAAGCCTCGAGGCATAAGCCTCAATTTTTAAATTGAAAAATATCCACAAAACAATTTCAAACTAAAGATAGAACATGATGTATAACATAAATGATCCAAAAACATTAAAAAAGTATATTGTCAAAGTAATACATCACAAACACAACAAAGTCAAACATGGAATAAGACAATATTGCTCAAAGTGTCCGAGTCAATTAGCACAAATATTATCAAAAAAGAAGAAAAAAGGAGAGTAACAGCTAAAAAAATCATCAGTATCCAACTACTTGAAAATAAACACCAATTATAAACTCCAACTGTAAAAAAGGAAAATTGAATGCTACAGTACTTCATAAAACGATAACCAAAAAAAACTAATTAAATAGATTTCTCAAGATAAAAGTTAATAGTAGATTATAAATCCTCTAGTTGTAACCCATCATCCACCCATCCTTATACCATTTTCCGAAAAGAAAAAAAATCGTACCTGCTAGAGTCTAGACACGGAAAACAGAGAAGCTTAGAAGATGAATCGCACTTGCTATAGCGATGGAGACGGTCGACGGCGACTTGACGCTATGAAGAAGATGAATCGCAGCTTGGAAATCGCAGCAATTAGGGTTGCATTAAAGGTCATCAACAAGGTAATTTAAAAAAAACACACACTTAATTGGAGTAATTGACAACTTTAACCTTTGATTTCCTAAATTTTACACGCTAAATTGCGTACGGCTCATTGCGTGCACCAGTGCGTGCGCCGCATGGCGTACGCATTTAAGCCAATTGCGTAAAATGGCTAATTGCGTGAATCGGAATTCACACCAGGGCGTTATTTTCCGGAAAAAGTTCTATTCCGCGCCTTGAGGCAGGTTTGCGTTCCACATTTTCAAACATTGATTTAGAGGGCAAGGAACCATCTGCTACGTAAAAATGAGTATATCCCTGAAGACGAAGCTACACGCTGGATAATCTTCCAGGTTACCACATTTCTTAAATCTAGAGGAGCTAGTAGGTGTTAATTAGCTTGTGAGGAATATCCTAGCCTTGGGGTTTGTGTAGGAGACTTCTTGTCTATATCTGGATCATGTTGTAACGTTGATTTGTGGTGATTAATATCATTTTGCTTTTGGTTCAAGAAAATATACAGCAAAGTTGGAACAAAAGAATGGATACAACAACACATCATATGGGATGTATCCTTCTCATTAAAATGGTCATATTTCTCAACTTGTTTTGTCCCATGAACTGAGTCCTATTTCTCAGCTTGTTTAACATATAGCCCTATAGGTATACTTAGTGCTACCTATGTGTTGTACCTTGCAGAAACTTAAGGAGTGGGACTCTTTTTATGGGGAAGAAGGGAGTATAAGATAAGAATGATGCGGCATACTAACAGTATAAGCATGGTTATTCAAACCTCGCAAGTAATTTGAGAAGTATCCATGAAAGACCTGTTAAAGTACTTGATTGCTTCATTGGCTTCTTGCTCTGTCCTAAATCCAACGAAGCCGAACTGTCTACTCTTCCCATCTCTACTCAAAACATCAATCATACACGAGATGTCATACATGAATCCAATCAAATCGGCAAATCTATGAACGAAGAGTAGAAATGCACAAGACCATATGCAGTGAACGAAATTAGTGATCTTACGAGGTGCGCATGAGCTTGGCATCAGTAACTTCTCCCTTCTGGGAGAAGAACTCTCGTATGCGGTCCTCCGATACATACTTCGGTAAATTCTTCACGCAAATACGAGACCTTCATACAAAGTTAGGGTTCTTCGTTCATTATGGTTGTAGATATAGATTCAATTGCATAGAAAATTCAGGAAGAAATTCGCGAGCTTACATTGCTTTGAATTTGAAGACTTAAAATAGTTCTGGACGATTTTCCGGCGGCTGACGGCTGGGGGCGAATGGAAGGGTTTTTCTATGAGTTCCCGGCCAATAAACCTCAGATGCTGCTGTGCGGCGCTGCTTCGTCAATCTTCTGTCTTCCGTAGTTCCGTGTGCCGTTTTTTTTTCCTAATATGGAACGACGTCGTTTTTCAAAAAAAGGTTAAAAAGTACCCCGTATATATAAAATAATTAAGATGCACCCCTAATTATTAAAAAAAAAATATCATAATGCACCCTCAGAAGTTTAGGGGGTATATTTAATCGGGAGTCTATATGATTTTTTTGGATTTTTAAAATCTGAGTGTATTCAATCTGGATTTCAAAAGTCTTTAAAAATCTTGAGGTATTCAATTGTAATTTTCTAAAGTCTTTAATAATATTAAAGTATTCAACTTGAATTTTCAAAAGTCTTTAAAATTTTTGAAGTATTCAAGAATCTATGAATTTTAATAGTCTATGGATTTTGTTGGATTTTTTCTCAAAAAATGCTTACATTTTCACTCATGGAAATCTCTTCTCACAACCCTAGATTTCTATGGACTTCATCCATTCACATCCGGCATCCGTCAATCTTTTATTTCTCTGTTTGGCCTTCGTCGACTGTTCATGTAATTCGGCATATGGTTGCTGTTCTTCTTCTCCACCGACGAGTTCCCGGAGATCTGAGTCGTGGAGGTGCAGATCGTCGCAGCGGAGATCGGAACTAGGGCTCAAAGACGAATGGGTCGGGTGAGGCGGCGGTTTGCCACCTTCTTGTCCAAATTGTAATTCTTTAAAGCAGGTCTTGGAGCTGGTGTTGGAGCTGGTCTCTAAATCGGATTCTTTCTGCTCTGCTTTTCTTCTGTTGCAAAATCTACATATTTTTCAAACTCGATATGGATTCTATAAATTTTTCTAACTTTACATGGATTCTACAAAAAATCAACCAAACTCTACATAGATTCTACAAATTTTTTAAATCCACTAACTTTTTGAAATCTAAAAAAATCCTATAAAATCCTAATTGAATACACCCTCCTTAATATACTTTTACTTGCATCATATATCAATTTTTTTAGCTCAGAAAATTGTTTAAATTATTGGATTTAAATTCTTACATTTTGAATTTTGAATATCAAATTACAAAGAGGGTTTAGAGATTTGAATTAAGCTTTATTACAAATTAGAGATATTTGGTCTAAATTTATATTCAAATCTTAGATGCGTATTCAATTAGGATTTTATTAGATTTTTTTAGATTTCAAAAAGTTAGTGGATTTGAAAATTTTAGAATCCATGTAGAGTTTGATTGATTTTTTTGTAGAATCCATGTAGAGTTTGAAAAATATGTAGAATCTATACATCACTTCTGTTCGAAAGTCCAACAGTGATGCTGATCACCGTACTACCACAGTAGGAAACAAACAACGCCGGTGAATGACGGGGTGACACATGTGGACAGGCGGACAAAAATCTCGCGGAGGGACGGACAGACGCTGGATGACGAATGGATGGAAGTCCATAGAAATCTAGGGTTGTGAGAAGAGATTTTCATGCATGAAAATGTAACCATTTTTTGAGAGAAAATCCAACAAAATCCATAGATTATTAAAATTCATAGACTCTTGAATATCTCAAAATTTTTAAAGACTTTTGAAAATTCAAGTTAAATACTTCAATACTTTTAAAGACTTTGGAAAATTACTACTGAATACCTCAAGATTTTTAAATATTTTTGAAAATCCAGATTGAATACACTCAGATTTTAAAAATTCAAAAAAATCCTACAGACTCCTGGTTCAATACACCCCCCTTAGATTTTGAAACATTTAATTTCAAATCTAAAGTTAACAAAACATTCAAAGTTAAATGTAATTTATTTAAAAAAAAATAAAAAATCTTAAAAAGAAAAACTTAAAAAAGCATAGAGTGGTGAGAAATTCTTGACCGTACAAAATATGAATTTTTTCATTTGAATTTTATTTTATTTTTTAAGTTAAAAATCCAAGGAGAATATAAATGAAACAATATTTAACTTCTCAAGTGTATTCTGATTTTTTTTATTAGTGAGGGTATATTTTAATTATTTGTTATGTTTAAAGGGTGCAAATTGCAAAATGCTATTAAACTCTCCCCAATGTTTTTTATTAGTGAGGGTATATTTTAATTATTTGTTATCTTTAAAGGGTGCAAATTGCAAAATGCTATTAAACTCTCCCCAAAATAAAGAATGTTGCTAAATCTATTTCATTTATGATAATTAATACTTTTATCTATAAAAATACAGAGTAAGATGTTGGAAAAAACTGAAATAAGTTAGGAAAAATTATAAAGATTTGGAAAATTTGAGAAAAATAACATCAATCGTCTATCCATCCATGAACACATATTATGTTCTAATAAAAACAATACGGAATAATATTATTAAAAGATATTTCTTCTGATTCAAAATATTCATTTACTTTAACTTTTTTAAATCAAATAGAAAGAACATTAATTGTCAATTACATTAAATATGCTTTGCAAATTCATACAATGTAATTTCTACTAGTACATTTTTTATACTACTTTCGTTCCCAATTTGATTACAAATTGCGGGTTATGGAGTAAATTTTTTTATTTTTTGAAATCATTTTATTTACAAATTGGTATATCAATAAGATATAAAAATTACATATTAAAAAACTACATCAAAATTTCTACAAAACAAGAGGCGACAAGAACATTTTATTTTATGAAATACTTAACGAAATCACGTAAACAAACAAAAGTTATCGAGAGGAGAAAAAAAAATTGTAATCCATTTAGGAACAGATGGAGTAAGAGTGTAAGACAACTCTAATGATTTTTTTTATCTTCCAGAATAGAGCGAACTCCTTTTATCCAAACCACAATCCGAACCATAAGCTTCAGCATAACAATGGCTTCTTCTCTAATCTCAGCCTCCCACTGCCCTCCGGCGTTCTACTTCTGCTCGAGAACGCAACCACTTATCCCGTCGCGAGTCTCCGCCGTCCCTTCTCCGTTCACCGGAAAAACGCCAACCCTCAATCTCAGCTCCTCAAGCGCCATCTCATCCCTCGCGCCTGTAATCATCCCCCGATTTCCCTCTCCGCTGCAGAAAACCCCGCGCTGGCTCATCCTTGTGTGCGCGAAAGGGTACAAGATGAAGACGCACAAGGTGATTTGTCGGCGATCCAGAGAAGTCCGATTGCATATTTTTTGTGTGTGCTCGAATTAGTAGTTTTTTTAAATTGGGATTTGCAGGCGTCGGCGAAGCGGTTCAGGGTGTCCGGGAGCGGGAAGATAATGAGGAGGCGAGCGGGGAAGCAGCATTTGCTCAGGAAGAAGAATGCTAGACGGAGATTGAGACTCTCCAAGATGGTTTCATCCTCTTCTCCTACTTAATTTTTTTTTTCTGAACCCTTGTTTGAGTTTTGATTTTTTTGCCTCAAATGTTGGTTCCCATTCAAGAAATCACCCAAAAAATATAGAGAAAAATGTCAAACAAATGTTTTTTAATCTCAAAAAATAGAATCTGTATTGTGACAATGTGATACTGCATATTAGTATTCCACTTTTTTTTGGTGTTATAACTCTTATTTTGGGAACAAAAACGTGAAGCTTATATTTTGTTATTTTCTCTATGTTTTACTCCTATTTTAGCAATTTTCCCTACTCGTTATTATTTATTTGTGACTATTATGATTTTCTGGATACATATAGTAAGCACTCTTCGTTAATGTTTAACGAGTCATGATGCCTTTCTTGGTATATCTAGAAATGCATGAATGAAGACACGATGTATATCGATATTCATTCAAGTTTTGATGTAACGTAAGTCACGATGGTTAATTGAAAGAAAATAGGAGTAAGTAGCTAGAGAGGTTGATTTAGTAGTTTGGATTGTATTGAGTTTGTTGCTGTTGTGGTGTGCAATGTGGCTACATGGAAATGTGCATCCAAAGGAGGCATATATAGCCTCAAATCAAACCTGTTTGTGCATTTTCTAATGTAGTTGGTTTTGGCATGTAACATATATAACAGGTACAAGTAGATCGCAGCGACTACAACAATGTGATCGGTGCATTGCCTTATCTGAAGGTGAATCGCGCGAATTAGGGCTTCGACAGCGATATGAATATTTTCAATGGTGTACCTCCCAATGCAGTAAATGGATGCAAACTTATTGTTTTAGAGATTCATGTACTTAAAGCAAATGCCATTCTGGTTGAAGTTGTGATGTTCTCAAACATGATTTAAATGAGCTTTGCCTTATCATCATTTTACTTGAAAACAAACTACCTGTCTTCCATTCAAAATTTTTGAACCACTTTACAATTAGGGCACAGAGTAATAATTTAAAAAATGGATGTATAGGAATCTGCTGGGAAAAAAAAACTTAATGCGCGAAGAAATTCAAGTTATGAAACTTGCACATAAGACACAAGGAGGATCACAAGACCGTTCATCGGGTATAGAGTAAGCAAAACATTCATTGTGGAAAGAATGGCCGCAATGCAAAACAGCGACTTCGGGGTAATTCAAAGTTCCCAACTCTTCTTCATACCCATAATATTCTGATTCGTAGTCTGATGGCACATAGGAGAGATCTTCCTCACATATACCACATGTCACTCCAACCTTTTTTAGTTTTCTTGATAAACCTGCAATACATGAGCATGTATCCTTAGTCATGGCACACCATTACAATTGGTGTGTATTATGCGATGTGTGGAACATTCCAACTTTGACGAACAAATATAATCGAGCTAATAGCCGAAAACACCTGTTTGGTCTGGGTTATTTGTCTTAAACCGATAGATCTCTTTAATTTTTTAAAGGATTTGGCAACATCTACTCCAGCCATGTTATCAATTAGTATTAAAGTAAAAACGTACGAGTATTTATTACTTAGCCTTTCATTCTGCTCGTTGAGCTAATAGAAAGAAACCCGTTTGTGGCCGATGAATAAAGCATAAAAAGGGAGTTGATAGTTTATAACATCTCTTCTGGATAAAGATTTCAATACCCTAAGTGTTATTGTTTGCTAAAAGTACTGGCAAGCTAGCTTTGAAATATGAATTGACACAGAGACACGGTCAAATTAATTTTATTAAAATGTGTTAAAATGGACCGTTAAAGAAGCTTATTTGAATGCTACTGATAGAAGTTTATCGAAAAGTCTAAAAAGCTAATAGTTAGCTTATGACTTGCCAGATATAGCCTTATATTGCCGACATTGACGTATTGCTGCAGAAGTGGGAGTGCATATGCTTAATTTTTAAAGTGAAAATCCAAGAAGCAATTGTAAAGAGCATTTTACTTAACCTTAGAGAACTTACCAGCACATTCGATATGGTAGATGGGCTCGTTACTCAGTATCTCCTTTGTCAGCGAGGAAGACTTCTTACTGCTTGTGGATGGTCTAGACTGACTTCCAGATATGGGTGTTTTCCCCTTTTCCAACGAAGTCTGCTGAGGCGTTGAAGTTCCAGCAGCTGTATTGCTTTTCTTACTTCTTGGGGTCACTTTGGCTGGAGGAACAGGAGAGGCTTTTATTTCTCCCTGCTGGAGATCTGAAGTCTGTTGGGATCTGCTTCTTCTGACCTCAGACAAAGAATCTTTGGTGGGTTGAGAGGTCTGGGCCTTGACTTTATCCTCCTCTTTAAGGGCAGAAGTGTTTCCATTTTGTTTAGGAGTAGACTTGGACCCTCTATTGGCTGAATCTGCAGTTTTCTCTCTGCTTTTGCTATTTTGTTGTTCATTAGTTTTCGGTGGCAATGTAGGCTTATTCTGAGGAGTATGAGGTTGTCCTGGTAGCACCAACAAAATTAGATGAGCATTAAAAGGGACATAACTCGCAACAAAAGAAAAAACTTATGCGAATGAGCTTGTTCAATTCATGCCATCATTTACTCTATATTGTCAATTAAACGATGAATCCTCTAATGATATTGAGCAAGTAAAGCGGCATGCCATAAAAAAAATCTGAGATCTAATAAAATTGCAAATAGTTAAACTAAATGAAATATGGCGATCCTTATATTGATGGTGACAAATGATAGATAGATAGATAGAGTGAAATAAGGTTAATAAAGCATCCCATCTCACCTATCTTCACTGATTTTACTTTTCTAGAAGAACTAATCGTAGGGGCGAGCAAACTTGACCTACGCTTTGCCGCGGCATTACTTTGACAGCACTGCAGATCAGATGATTCTTTCTCTTCGGATTGGATTCCGTTGGCTTCCATGTTTCGCCCCTGGACACATTCAAATCAATAGCAATTTCTCAGATGTTGTTTTCTTCTACACACCTTTTGCCACAAATATATATACGAGTATATAAAAAAATAACATTCATATATTTCAAACAGAAACGAGACTCACGAATCAAAATTCAATCATTACATATATATAAAAACGTATCCTGGGAATTTAATCTGTTATTTTTTTTAAATTTCTATTCTATGAAGCCGCGATTAAGAGAATTGCGGAGGATAGTAATAATGAAATATTGAAAGCGAAATCTGAGAGCGGAGAATTCGTTGAAATCAAGATCGTCAATGGAAGATACCTGCCTCTAGTCGTAGCAGAGAAACGGCTGCGGCGGCGGCGGGGATGAAGAGGCGGTTGATGGCGGTGAATTGATTGGATGAATGATAGGGAGTTCGTTAAGGGCCGGAGAAGGGGGAAGGAAGGGTTTTGGCCTCCGTAAGCCGTGCGCTAGAACGGGGAAGGGTATTTAAATCTTCTGGTCGTGGGGGCCACTCGGATTATTTACTGACTATCTTTCCTATTTCAAGTAGAGGTGAATTTCCTATTTAAAAATAAAAAATTCCAGTTGTCAAAAAAAAAATCTCACAAAAAAATAAATCATAAATAAGAAATACGGGTAGAATTTAATTTTGTTAGCGAAATGCTAAAATTGTTAAACTACTTTTAAGGTAAACAATAAGAATTACAGAGACGCAATTGAAGAAGGTGAGATGATGGGAGAAGTATAGTCAAAGTGTTTTTCAGAAAAGTTTTTTTAGTCACACATTGCATGATTGCAGTAAAAGTGTGTCACTGTTTGACCAAAAAATCAAAACAGGAAAGGTTTTTAGGACTGAATGAGTATACAACTACATTCAGATTAAACTAGATCATATTAGAACTTATTCTAATCTGATCAGAGCCATTTAGATCAGGTAATTAAATAAAACATGACCTTAATTGAAATTAATCACAGGTTGATGGTAAAGAGTGAAAATTGCACACGGTACTTGCAGAGTTTTATGCTTAGTATACTTGCCTCTCAGAATAATGGTTAGGAATCGAGCTTGAATATTACACATTGACATTTCTTGCTTTGTCAACTACGCAACGTCCACTGACTAATAATGGACAAAAACTTTCTTAACTTTTATGCATGGAGACAAGTACAATGAAAAAGCATAGAAAACAAGTTTTCTAAGGCAATGTAGTACATTATATGCTGTTTTTTATAATAAAATATGTGACATTAATCAAAGTTTCTCATTTAATTATTCTCTAGCTACTATTATTTCATCTTTTTAAAGATCATGTGAGTCAATATTGACAATGTATATGAAGAGGTAAAGTGCCTAACTGTTCAATGCAAGTGCTTATTAGATTCATATAGATTGTTAAATATATAATTTATTTATTTTGTTTATACCTATAATTAGCATTGCTTGACAACTAGTTCAACAATTCCCACTAATTAGATAACTATTTTCTAATTTCTCCATGTGAAGCATTAGATTTGATTGCATTATTACTCCTGTCTCAAATTAAGTTACACATTTACAATTCACATGGTCAAATTTGTTTCATCATCTTTTCTTATTTTTCATTAGTCATTTGATAAATTAATATATTTATTAAACCACTAATTTTGTTGATGTTTTGATTTAATTTTTAATATAATTTTTTTTTAATTTTAATCAAACATCGTAAACCAAAATAAATAATTTAAAATAGGATGGATGACTTAAAATCGGTTTCAACTTGCGTCACGTCCTCTTGTACCAAATGTTTAGAGGAGATTCTTTTCTTAAATTGATCTCTGCCTAAATATATTGCTTCAACTCCGGCTTAATTCAAACGTGTACACATGCCACTAGTTTTGGCTCAATCTCACTTTTGGAAGTATTTATAACAACGTAGGGGTGGTGTAAAATCCCACTTTTGTATTTACGGTGAGAATTTGGTGTAAACTTTAAAATTAAAATCTATAATTTTAAAATTATAGATTTTAGGAACCATGTATTTTTCAAAAAAAAATATATGATAGGTACTCCTATTTATTTAAGCACGTAGTACTCTATCCGTCCTGATTTAATTCTTTCGTTCAACTTCTTATAACTTGCAATGTAACACTTTAACCATTAATATTGATATTTATACGTAGATACATTTTATAAAAAGTGAAAATTTCAAAACTATATTTCAAAAGAAAACCATTGATGTTAAATTTATAATGAAACACAATGTATTTTTTCTACAAATTAACGACAATGTTTACAAATTTTAATCAAGAAAAAATTAATAAGAATATTACATCTGTCTGTATGGAGTAATTTTTTATCTTGTATTAGAAAATTAGGTGCTTCTCTCATGAATGTTAGGTCCTTATTTATGATTTTTACACAAAATTACTATTACCACTTTTTGGTAAAATGAAGACTTTCAATTCTTTTGACAACAAACATTTACGATATTTCATTCATAAAATTGATATGTTAATTTTAACTATAGTCAATAGTCTGACACTCAAGTAGCTGAAATTGAGAACCTAGAGTCTCATAGTTAAATTATAGAGTCGCTATGCAATACGGAGTAGTAAATTTAATAAGAGATTAAGGTGATATTGATTGTCAATTTCATCATATGACATGAATCCCAGTTAAAGCCTCCAGGATGCTTTTCGTAAATCTTTCAGTTTCTACCTCTTCTAACTCTCCCTCCTCGATAAATCCTCCACCCAGCTCCTCCCTGGACCCACCATCACTCAATTCAATTGCACCCATGAAATTTATTTGACTTTAAATTTAAAATATTTGATACCAAAATTAACTAATTTTTAATTTGGGGGTGTAACTCAAAGGGCTGAGGGGGTGGGTTCATGTCATGGCTGAGTGTTTATCAGGTGGGGTATGGATAAAAACCATCAATTTTTCGAACAATGCTATGTAAGGATATCATATGATGACATGATGTTCCATTATATTTTCAAGGGAATCCCTTCGAAATTGGTTGAGGATTAGACTATTAGGTTTCGTTTGGTACATGAAATTGAAATTGAAGTTTTATGAAGTTGAATTGGATAAAATTTAATTATAATTTCATTCCAAATCCTTTGTTTGGTATTATCAAAGAATTAATATTGAATTGTATTGTATTTCTAAATATCTTGTTTAGTAGCAAAATATTGAAAATAAAATTAATATAGAAATATATTTTGAAAATTTCTCATAACAGAGTAATTCAAACAAAATTAAAACCCTAATTGTTTTCTAACTCATTCAAACCCTAGCTATGTTGGTGGGATGCTAAATTTTTTTTTTGGTAAAATTAGGTAATTTCAAAACTTTAAACCGAAAACTTAAAATTTCAAACTGAAAATAAAAAAATTTTGAAAAATATTAAAAAGTAAAAATTAAAATTTAATTTTTAAAAATTTAAAATTTAATTTTTATAATTCAAAATTTAAAATTAGAATTAAAAAATTTGAAATATGAAATTTAAAATTTAAAATTTAAATTTAAAATTCAAAAAATTAAATATAAACATTTTAAATTTAAAAATTAATTTGGAATTTAAAATATAAAATTTAAAATATAAAATATAAAATATAAAATATAAAATTTAAAATTTAAAATTTAAAATTTAAAATTTAAAATTTAAAATATAAAATATAAAATATAAAATTTAAAATTTAAAATTTAAAATTTAAAATTTAAAATTTAAAATTTAAAATTTAAAATTTAAAATTTAAAATTTAAAATTTAAAATTTAAAATTTAAAATTTAAAATTTAAAATTTAAAATTTAAAATTTAAAATTTAAAATTTAAAATTTAAAATTTAAAATTTAAAATTTAAAATTTAA